TCCCTTTTCACACAGAGAAATGTTTGAACACGAGTCAGCTGACCCGCAGTTACGTTGTTATGGACGGCGAGGCTTCCCAGCTACGCCCCGGCCGGACCCAGGCACGATACGTCACCCGTATGACACAACAGGAAAGTATTCATCCACGTCGTGTCACACCTTCTGGGAGAGACTTTTACTTGACGGGTCACATGCTGCGCTCCTCGTAAAACGTCTTCAGTGTTTCCTGGGAAGAAGATTGCGACACGCGGTGACTGTCCAAGAACACGGAGGGGACAAGAGTAGAAATACTGCGTGACAATGACAGAGGAAAACTCTACGGCCGACTACAGACAATACAATCAGGGCCTACAATCAGGGCGCACAATCAGGGCGCACAATCAGAGCCTACAATCAGAGCCTACAATCAGAGCCTACAATCAGAGGGTACAATCCGGGCCTACAATCAGGGCCTACAATCAGAGGGTACAATCCGGGCCTACAATCAGGGCCTACAATCAGGGCCTACAATCAGGGCCTACAATCAGAGGGTACAATCCGGGCGTACAATCAGAGGGTACAATCAGAGGGTACAATCAGGGCCTACAATCAGAGGGTACAATCAGGGCGTACAATCAGCTTTACATTTACCAGAACTATGTAATACGAGCACCCACCTGATCTATCCGGTCTGTACCCGGTCTGGGAGGCCCTTATATTACAAGCTTGTTGGTAGATGTAACGGAGATTAAGGGCTCACTCTCACAGACATGCACACCCATGCAGAGAGCTGCTCCCGGGAGGGACACGTGCTGCATGTAATAGTCTGCAGACGTCTGTACTTCCCTATGGGAGGATGAAGCTGCACAATGCTACATGCCGACCCGAACCTGCACATCCATGCCGATCTGAGTACCCGCACACTGCCTGCATACAAGTGAGGGCAACCGGACTGTGCAGGTTCAGGTCTGCTTGTAGCCGCACCCTCCTATGGGGATGTACAGGCCGCTGCACACAACTAGACGCACCGCCTGTCCCCCCCCAGGAGCAGGTCCCTTCATGGGCGTGCATGCCGCACCTATGTGCGCCTGTACCCCCCAGGAGCAGGTCCTTTCATGGGCGTGCATGCCGCACATATGTGCGCATGTACCCCCCAGGAGCAGGTCTCTGCACGGGTGCTGCAGTACCAGGAGCCACGCTGATAGGTGGAGAGTGCAAAGTGACAGAGAGATGATCTCATCAGTCTGCTGCTTTTCTTTTGACAAGAAATGACCGGCTGGGGGAGGGGCAAGACCTGTATTTCATCTGTACACAGTACTCAGTCCCTAGTCAGTATTACCCAGAATCCCGCTCCTGACGTTCATACAGAGTGGCAGGTCAGGCTGCAGGCAATGCGTCGTATAAAATGCGGCAAACCCGGCATATGATTTATTGACCCCTCTTCTGTTAGACCCCCAGCGCTCAGGTCAGAACCTCTAAATGGGCCGGTGGAGCTGAAGCATTGCAGACCCCGGACTAGTCATGCAAGTCCAGTGAAGGGAGACACGCCCACTCAGCATGTGACCTCGGAAGGACTATCTCAGCATCTACAGCACAGCGGCAGGCGAGGATGTGCGGCGCGTTTGGTGCGCGGTGTACAGAGCCGACCTGCTCGGGATCGGCCTCCCCTTTATAACGCTGACCTGTGTTTCACCTCCTCCTCCCCGGGGGGATTAGTGTCCCATGGCAGCCAATCAGATCCACTGCTCCTCCTGCTCAGCCTGTAAAGAGGACCTGTCACCCCCCGACAGTCAATGAGAGGTGTGTGCACGCAGGGTGTCCACGCTGTATATGTGACCTCTGTACAGGACACAATGCATCCTCCTCCCTAAAGAGGACCTGTCACCTACTGAGGTGCTTCCCCAGCCAATCCGTATGGGATCAATTCCTGGCCTCACTGTTCTTATCTAGAATGTAAAGAGGACCTGTCACCGTCTGGCAATGAATGAGAGGTGTGTGCACACAAGGTGTCCCCCCTGTATATGCGAGCTCTGTACAGGACACAATTCACTGTCTATGTACCGTGCTCCCTAAAGGAGGACCTGTCACACCTAGCATGAGATGTACACAGCCCCTCCCCTCATATCTAAGCTCTCCCCCTAATCCCCATCTATAAAGAGGACCTGTCGCCCCTAGCAAGAGATGTACACAGCCCCTCCCCTCATATCTAAGCTCTCCCCCTAATCCCCATCTATAAAGAGGACCTGTCGCCCCTAGCAAGAGATGTACACAGCCCCTCATATCTAAGCTCTCCCCCTATTCCCTATCTATAAAGAGGACCTGTCACCCCTAGTAACACATGTACACAGCCCCTCCCCTCATATCTAAGATCTCCCTTTATTCCCCCCCATCTATAAAGAGGACCTGTCACCCCTAGCAACGGATGTACAAAGCCCCTCCCCTATATACAAGCTCACCCCCTATACCCCATCTATAAAGAGGACCTGTCACCCCTACCAACGGATGTACACAGCCCCTCCCCCTCTATATACCAGAGCTCTGTACATTATGGAGGAGAGCTCATCGATAAAGAGGACATGTCACCCCTAGGAATGAGAGAGGTGGATATACACAGCCCCTCCCCCATATCTCAGCAGTGTAAATAATCAATGAACGCTCACCCTCATCTATAAAGATGAGCACCTGTAACCCCTAGCAACGGATGTACACAGCCCCTCCCCCCTCATATGTGAGCTCTGTACATTACCTATGAGCAGTAATTGTACACAGCGCCCCATTCTCACCCTCTTCTTCCTCAGCTGCAGCAGCCTCTCCTTCCTCTTCAGCGCTTCTTCCTCCAGCTTCCCTACACTGACCTCCATCTTCCCACAAACCACCGCGCTTCGCCTCCAACCAATCAACGCTCTCGCCGCCGTCTACGTCATCAGTCCGGGGAGCGGAGCGCCGCACTAGCCGCAGAGACAAAGCTAAGGGAGCGCCGAGCGCATCGATCCGAGATCAGCCAATCAGCGCGCAGCCGAGTGTCTCCATTCATGCGGAGGGGGCCACGCAGGGAGCTCCGGGGTGTCGGCACAGCCTGGAATATGGGGGCTCTGTATACAGATTTCATTATTCTACACAGAGTCCGGTATACCATCCCTATACCTCACACTGAGAGTCATACAGAGTCCAATCATCACATTGTAACTCATAAATCTTATAATAATTGAATTTAACCCGTTCCCTTCCTACACCTGTAACCGCCCCCCCTCCATGGACCAGAGACTTTGTGAACAGTCCGCCTGTTGATTTGGTGATAACTTTGTCATTACTTATAAAAAATGGATCTATTTATTAATTTTTTTCACCCAAGACTCTCTCTTTTTACATAGGATCCCATTAGAAAAAAAGTGAATATCGAGGGAATGTGCCCCATCACCCTCCTAATGTTTGTTTTGGGTGAATAATGCCGAACACAAATGTTTTTAATACTGTATAATTTATATTGTTCAAATGCAATGTCATGTAATACTACATCATGGCCAATAGATGGCGCTGTAGTCCAAAGGAAATCAATACCGACACATACTACATCAGTGCATACCTACGGAACCAGGGATGGTGCTAGACTATATTGCGCCCTAGGCAAGACCAGCTACTTGCACCCAGGGCCGGCCTTAGGCCTTTAGGCGCCCTGTGCGAGAAAGCTTGACAGCGCCCCTCAGTGAAGTAGCACCGGCCCTGACCAGTACCAATACTTCCCCTCAAGTACACGCCAATACAGACTAATGATTTTAGGACAGTGGGGGAGTGCCAGGGCCGGATCCCAGCTGCGTCTTCTGCGACCCTGGTAGCTCTGCCACTGGCTCCAAGCTGTAGAGGGACTACAAATCCCAGCAATACATTATAGAGCAATGCAGAATAATATGTTGCTACATGCTCTGGGGTGCCAGCCTGATGTCTTGGGTGGAGGGTCTCAAGAGGGGTGCAGAGGGTCTTGGGAAGGGTGCGGATGGTCTTGTATATCGGTTTCGGTGCATCCCCGATTTGAACTGTAAAGCAATATATTAACAACACTCGTTCTCTGCATTATTTGCCCCAAAACGACGGTTCACTGATATAGTCGGGGTGAAGGGCCCTGCAAATTGTTTTTAAATAGACTCCTAAGTGGACTTCATGCATGTCAGCTTGTTGCATTGCTGTGCATCCGAACACTCTGCACTGGTCCTACGTTTCCCGGGTGCGCACCCACACAGACCATTGATGTGACCTGAACCAATAGGACCTAATAGGCCATTGTCCTGTCTATGGGTTGGCACTGTGTTGGGTATTGGCCGGCTGTCAATGAGCCCTGAAGGTCTCACCTTTGATCTACAGATGACTGAAATAGAA